ATGCGGCCTCGATTTGCCATTTTCAGATCACTTTTATGGCGGTCATTTTTCATGAGCATCTGAGTATTCTGGCGTTATTCGGCATTTTCCTGAGTGTTGCAGCTAGCAGTCTGTACGCTTTCGCTGGTGAGCCCGGGCTTTTGTGGTGACTGGTGTACTGATTGTCGTTACTTCAGCAACCCTTGGGGCTCGCAGGAGTGCGAGTGTCGCCGTCAAGGAAGACGTGGTTGCTTCTCACCTACAGGAAAATCTTCTTGCGGGAAAAGCCCCTTGAAAAGCGCTCGTCTGACAGGGCGCCTCATTTTTCCCATCGTGACAGAAGCCGTGAACGAGAAGTCGTATTGTTGGTATCATCATCGTCGTGATGTACCGCATTGTTTTTTCTCATTTTTTCCAAATGCCTGGCTTAGGCCGGTGAGGATCATTGCTTGTTGGGGAGCTCGCGTCCAGCAGCGACCTAGCACTTAATTCAAGATCCAGTAGTGGCAATACTGTTGAGTGGTAGTCACGGGTTCTCGGGGGTAGGCAATCATCATGAATTCGGATTGGACTCGATCGTCGAGGGGGCTGCAGTGGTATGGCTTAGTCGAATCAGCTTCGTATGTAGGAGTGCTAGGACGTGTTCCCATAATAGAATGATGTGCTTGGACGGAGTGCGCTGATGGAAATTTGGTAGTATGAGAGAAAAACCAGCCGGGCTACTTACGGTGGGGTTATTCGGCTAGAGCACTGAGTGTGTTATAAATGCCACGCAACGTTTCGTAGATTTGCCTCCCTAGCGAAAAGTGTAATCATATTTAGTGATCTGGTATGGAGTTGAGACGTATATGATAATGTGAATATTTCGTGGCCTTTACCCAGGTTTTGCGTGCATGGGGTATGGGTGCTCTGCAATCACATTCGCTAGGTGGCAGTTACTGTATGCTTACTGTCAGTGCGTTGAATTTATTATATGCCCGATGGTCACAAGTCTGGTGATCAACCCAACGCTGGTGGAGGACTTGAGGACTAAACAGAGGTGGGTAGGATAACGAGTAATGATGATTCTTATCGTGCACTTGGCGATACTGTTGTGAACAGTAGTGATTATAGCAAGATTTGACTTCGGGTGGAAACTCGAAGAGGGTCGTCTCAACAGTGCGTTATGGAATGCAAAGACTCCTGTAGTAGTAGTTCCATGTGTCTACAGTGTTGTAGCAGATCGCGAGGAAGCTAGTGTACGTGGTGTACTAGGCAGGTACCCTCTAGCGGAGGCGCAGGAGGTGTTTCTTCTACGGAGAAATAATATTGTGTTTTCGGCCAGAGGGCCGTCCTTTGGTGAACTGAGGGCTACGGGCGATGCGTACATGACGAGCAAAAGGCTGGTACTGTTTGCACGCAACATCGAGATGCGTAATTTGACAGTAATTGAATTCCCCATAGGTATTCGTGATTGGCAAGGACGGCAGTGGTAGTCGGCCAGACTTCTACTCAGCATCGGTCGCTCTTGAGGCATGGAGAGATCCTAAATTCCGACAACCTGTTTTTGGAGCCAACTTCCTGGAAGGTAGCGATTGGAGTGAGCTGCTCAGCACTTCATCATTTTTTCGTCACCTATGGAATGACGGTCGAGCTGTGGGCTTGTTGGGTGTCATGTTCATTTAGGTGTATCGGCTGATCCTATACCCGGTGCCGGCGAATGTCGTTTCTCGTACACCTTCAACAGTGGTGGCTGTGGTAGTACTCGAGGGCGTTGCACACTTGGAATCTCTCCCCTGATAGCGTTCGCTTCCCTCAGCTGAGCTCAGGGGGGTTCTCACTGATTATGGAAGTTTACAAGTGAATCAGGGCAAAAGTGTATAGAAACCTACAGAGGAATTTTGCGGAATCTTTTAAAATTTTCATATTGTCATCAAAACATGTGCATATACCCATACTGATACAGGCACGTTCTTGCCAATGTTTTACCGTCTGCACGCTATGTCGTCATCGGCCGGCGGTGGCGCTCCAGGCGACCGCATGCGCCCAGCTAATAGCAGTTTCGTCCAGTCAGTCCTTGCTGGTAATGCCTTCCACTACTGAGCGATAATATACCGTTATAGCAGGTGATCTCGGCGCGGTCGGGTTCCAAGACCCGAGTGATCCTTCGGTCATTTACGTGGCCCAGCCTCCTCAACCCCGAGGCCTGGAGTGATTGCAGGCAATCGAAGTGTGTCTCGTTAACATTGCCAAACTGTTTCTAATCTCAAACGTGTTGAGTAGTTCAGGGACATAGGAAACCCTAGAAGCACATTTGTACTGTACTAAGCCCCATGCTGTGGCGGGCGCGTCATGGCTAGAAAAAGACCTCATGCTTAGTGATCGGAGACACGTACTGCCAGATTGTATCAGTTGGGTTGCTATGCGGCTCTCTGGCTCTGATGGAAGGCGGCTCACATACCGGACTTCTCCACGGGTTCGTGCGTCGCTGTTGCTACTCGGCGCGATAGTCCTCTTGGTGTACTTCGCCGAGACTCTCTTTGTGGTTTGTCGGGGCTCTATGGACAGTCGCGCTGTGCGACATGCAATACCCTCTGGTAAAGGGCTTCGAGCAAAGCCTTTCGTCCCTTCAAGGTCTGGGGTTGCCCCTTCTAGTGGCCTTAGGGTAAGCTAAGACGGGCTCAACGCTGGGTAAGTGGAGAATGCTCAGATGACCCTGCCGTATGGACTGGAGGCCCTCGAGCCGGTCATCTCGGCAGCAACTGTGGATTTCCATTACAATAAGCATCACCAGGGTTACATCCAGAAGCTCCTCGACGCCACTGGTTTGCCGGGTGGGCACAATCACACGACGTTTTTTCGACCTGACTTCTGCCTCAGAATCGCGAATCAATTTGAAGTCCCTGGTTACTCTGGGGCCTGACCGAGCTGGGGAGAATGTGTTCAATGCTGCTGGGCAGATCTACAATCACAACATGTAGTGATGCTGGTCAGCAGTGTGGGAAAATATGCGCAGGGTGATCTCATATGTTGGTGACAATATGAGAATTCTGAGGAAATTTTGCAAAATTCTTGTTGGTTTCAGTACATTTCTACCCTAGTTCGTATATGAACTCCTATAGTTAGTGGGGAAACTCCTAGGGTCAGCGAACATATATTACAACACTGCTGGTCGCTTCTCGTTTCCGCATATGGTCTCAATTTTCAGCCCTTAGTTCAATCGCCGATTTCCTCGTCTTTGTATGGCAGGTACTGGTTGTCGATGGTCCCAACCTCGGGCAGTGGACGACATGTCCCTCCCCGTCTGTTGAAGCTGATACGTGCTAGGTGGGGGAACGTTGATGAGATGAAGGAGAACTTCATGCGAAAGGCAACGGCACTGTTTGGGAGTGGCTGGATTTGGTGAGAGTCGTGGCTATGTATTTTTTGAGGCTGGCGTCACTGACAATGTTGCTTTTTTCGATTTTTCCCGAAATTGAAATTTACAGCGGAGATTCCCGAGACACCCAGAGAGAAGCCCATGATTGCTCATGGAGTGTGATTATGCAATTGTTTCTCAGGTTGGTGTGGGATACCCGGGAGAGGCGATTGGACCTCGTAGGGACGAAGGATGCCCATAGCCCCCTCAGTGAAGACGCTGGGAAAATTCCACTCTTCACTTGCGGTGAGCTGTATAGTGTGCGCTTCAGTGTGACGAGCTGTGATTGGTAGATGTATGGGAGCATGCTTACTACCTCGACTACCAGCACGACAGGGCAGCGTATTTGACGAGATGGTGGAGTCTCATTAACTGGGAATTCGCAGATTCGAACCTACCAAGTGATATCGAATAATTACCTCTGATGATTCCACTGTTGCGTATCAAGTTGGCAACCCTGGAGAACGGGGAACTGAGAAACACTGTGTTGAATTGTGGTGACACGCTTGGTGAAAGGTCCTTGATGACGGCCTCAACATGGCCGCTTCCTCCTCCTCGTCATTCGCTGCCTCACCTCGTGAGGGAGGGTACAGTCGGAGGCGGCATAGATCACTAGATACGATGGATAGCGGCGACCGACACAGGCTTATGACGGTAGGATGCGTGATCCGCATATCTCGACTTTTCTCGGAAATGAAACATTTCCTCGACCGGACGTGATATTTTCCTGAGAACTGAGTGCTGTTGCTATGGCACTCACGTTGCTATGGAGCCGCATCTGTTGTAGGATCGATCGGCCTACATTTCCTATCTAGAGTTGCAGTTGGAACGAGTCACAGCCAGTTGTCTCACAGTCCAGGCAACGCGCTCCACTTAGTCGCCCCTATCAGCCTTGATTTTGTAGGGATTCAGTGACCGTATCAATCAAGTTGCCGACCAGTGTAACGAGATGGAGTCACGTATCAACGGGATTGGGAGGTGAATGCCAGCGGATGATTGTCTGA